CTGCAGTTTTCTTGGCAAGATTTCAGAAGTGGTTTGCCATTGCCTCCTTCTTAGGGCTGAGGAGAGAGTGACTGGCCCAAGGTCACCCAATTACTTTTATGCCTAAGGCAGGACTAGAACTCATGGTCTCCTGGTTTCTAGCCTGATGCCTTAACCATTACACCAAACTGGCTCTATTAGTTTTTAAGATGATCACAAAACTGTAGAAATAATGGCTATATTGAAATATGTTGCCAGGTTCCGTGCAGCAGCGCTCAAAATTTATCAGTTGATGACCTGTGCTATAAACTAGATTTAACGAGCACCTAGTCTGCCTTATTCGAGTGCTTTGTAACTTGATTGATACAGTCTTCCTCATACAGTACTAACCTTTTATGCTCATCTATATCCATCTAATGCTTCTACCCCTTCTTTTAGATGCTTTTAGATTCTCGCTATATATATATTAATTTTTAATTCATATATCTTTTGTAGCTGCTAGCTTTTCATATTTTTAAGGTTTAGATTTTTATTCTTTATGATTTTTTAATGACTGTACCTCACCTTCCTTGTGATGGTCTATGACCGTAATAAAGATTTGATTTGATTTGGTACTTAATGCATCTCACCACAGTACAACACCTTTGCAGTTTGCTGTCCAAAGGCTAAGTGCTAATGGAGAACACTGAAGCATTTCCCTTACCCATTTGATGCTCTTAGATGGCTCCTTTCCTGACACTGATACTTCTCTAAACCACACTGTCTTCCCCAGCCTAGTCCTCTCTACAAGCATTTAACTACAATTCCCAGCATCCCCAAAGAGCAAGCCACATAGTCCAATATATTGGAGGCTGTTAAGCTAGGAAACATTTCTTCAAAGAAATTGTGCTCCATTTTGTCTTTTGTGTAGTCTCCAGCTACGATGCAACTTCAAGAGGTGCAAGTGACCAGAATTTCATAAGGTATTCTAAATATGGTCATTATCCGAAATCAACTCAGAAGGAAAGGAAGAAAAAAACACACCCAGATGTTTCTGCCTCTTCAGTTACTAGACATCAAAACTAGATGGGACGCGCACTTCTTTCTTTCCCTCCCACAATGGCTTTCCTAGGAGATGACCTTTATATGATGTTATCATCATGCCCATATGAGCCAAAGCCCAGAGGGGTTTCTGAGAAGAGGCCCACAACTCACCTCCTAAATCGGTGTTTATTAATGGAGTGACATCAAACCTTTTCTCGAAATGTCACAGACTGGAAGATTCCTGGGCTGGGTTGCATAAGCTGATGTGGGTGTGTTACCAACAACTCAGCAACTGATGAGCAGACAATGCACTTGGCATCTAAAGATTAGCATACTCACCATCATGACCTAGGGAACAAAACTTTACCCTCAATTACTAAATCCTCCACATTCTGAACATTAAGTGTTTTATTTTATTTTCAAAAGAAAAAAAAAGTTTTTAGTCCTCAATGGGAGTAAAGCCTAAAAGTTTCATTCAAGTGTACAATGAGCTACATCAGTGCCATAATTGTGCCTAATGAAACATTATACAAATGGCAGTAGCTGTTACCGCTGTTTAGGATCCAATAGGGATTTTTTAAGGAATGGACTAAGAACTAAGTCTTCTCTACCACGCTGACAAAAATTGAGTATTAGCAACTTTTAAATTATGTTAAAGGTATTTTAAAGTTGTACACTTTATGTATTGAAACAATTTATATAGCCACCCAATCAACATGTGATTTAGGGCAGCACACAAATGGAAATAGCATATAATAACAAAACATACATTAAAAATAATAAAACATAGCATGATCAGCTTCATTCAACCAAGAACAAATCAGGATGGACACAAAACCTCCCAACCCAGTTACTAGGAGAAAAGTCAGGCCTTAAAATCCTCCTGAAAGACAGCAGAATCAGGGCCATCCACATTTCAAATTGTTCCATAAGGCAGACACGGCGATAGAGAAGCACGTCTCTGGGGTCCCACCAGATGAAACTGCTTAAGTGATGGGTCCTGGAGAGGTATATAGCATAATAGGCAGCATAAAGGATAACATTTTCAGGAAATGAATTCTTAGTACTTTTCTTATGTACTTGTTTTAAAGAACATTTAGCATGTAATTAGATGTAATTGCACAATTGTTCTTGTAAAAATGTTTTACAGTGTAAGGGTGCAAAGCTAACAAATGTATAGACTGGTTTTAGCATTAATTAAAATCAGTATAAAAATCAGCACAGCAGTAAATGGGGCCTTTTGGAAAGGCAAAGATGTGGCAGAGTTCATCCACTTGAATACGTAAGTCTTGTGTCAATACCAAAGAATCCACACACTGGGAGTTCCATTCCTTCTGAAGAGTTTGGAGTACCTGAAATATCAGAAACGATGGAAGACATGCAGAAATGACAAGAAGAAAGAATTCCCTTTCCCTACAGACTGAACCTTGGAATCAGTGCTACTTTCCCCTGGATTATGAAATAAAGAGATAGGCCTCTAATATTTTCAAATTCATACACACACGCGCGTGTGCACACATACATACACATACATACACATTTTGTTCATAAAAATTTAATACACTAGCTTAAGATTCTATTGTCCATAGAAACTACTTTTTCACACGATAAGTGGCAAGAAGATGCATACATACAGACAGACATGACAACCTTTCCACTAGTCACCCTGCCACACATTCTTAAATAGACACCTGCACTATTCACCCACCTAAAATAAACCAGAAATCAGAAACATATACATACATGTTCTTTCCCTTGCACATATATTTTGAAAATATGATTTTTCCTTTTGCACATGTTCAGGTCCTCAGAATGTGGGAACCATGGCAGTGAGAATTCCTGACTTTTTGAAGTGTCTTCTTGACGGGATGGAGGTCACCCTTCTCTGCCATGAGAAAAACCATGTAAGCAGCTGGGATGAGCTAGAAAAGCAATAAAGAGCAGCAGAGAAGAATAAAATAATACAAACTACAAACTACAACATACCCCAAAATGCTGGGGGAACAAAATTAAAGTTCCCCATCCTGGATCTTTATGAAGATTCCTGTCCTGCTGTTGCTGTTCATCTCTTCCCCAGCATCCAGCTGATGGCTGATCAGCTAGATGAGGACTGGCGATTTGCGGGCCCACACGCAACTCCAAGAACCTCCTTTCCAGTCCCAGAACCCCTCCAAAGCTGGCAAGCCAAAATTGGAGGTCCTTTTAAAAGATTTGAGAGAGGGAGGTGGAAAGCCAACACGAGTGCTTTAAGCTACCCATTCCACACCTTAATAACTCTTTCATACATCCCCCAGAGAGCAGGTTTATTTTTCCCAGTTTGGAAGGAGGTTCATATGTCATCCCAACCTGTTAGCTACACCCAGGCAGAGCATAAAGGCTCTGAGGCTTCCAGGCAGAGCATAAAGGCAAAGCATAGCACCCCAGGGCAGAAACAGCTGCCCACTCCTGAAGTAGGATTTGGGAAGCGGGTGGGGCTCCCTAGTACCAGCGAGCCACACAAAGAGCGGCTTGAACTAGTGGCCACATGAAACCTGCAAGTGCCCTGTGATCTAATCATTTCCTAAGATTGCAAGCAGGGAAACTTTCTCATTCCCTGCCATTTGATCCTTTTAAATGGAGATGCCAAGGTATGGCTATGGGACCTTTTGCTGAAGTGTCACTCTTGGCCTAGACTGGTAGCCTAAGGCTCCTTAACACTACTTGTATGTCCAAGAGCATTTCCATAAATTCAGGGAAACTGCTGGGTAGGAAAATGGTTTGCACATGGGAAAAACAGGAGGGAGAGCTATTCTGCCACCTTGAGCTCCTGAATGAATGGTGGGCTATTAATATGATCAATCAATCAATATTTCCCCCATGCACAGTATTAAGCAAAAACATTCAGTTGAGAAAACCAGACGTATTAACAGTGCAAAGCAATCTGCTTGAGGCAGCATCATGTCAAGGAGATGGTTTAGGATGAAACTGGTGCCCAACTGGTATAATATATACCTTTTCACACATTTGAGGTCTGTTTTAGTTATCAAAATGTCTTGGGCCAGGACTGAAAATGGAGCCATGTTCTAATGCAAACCTTTGCTGGGCTGGACCTACAAAAATTATCATGCCAGTT